ACGCACGCGGATGACTGCTACGAACTATAAATACCGTGCAATCCATGCATTTTCACCCTTATCTGCGCATGGCTACGATTATCCTATCATTACCTATGATTAAGGATTCCCGACGTAATCCAAAACGTCAGAGAAATAAAACTCTTGTTCCAGTGGTCGCATCTTCTTCTTATTCTTCTTCTAAGCTGCTTCATAGAACTCGCATATTTACTTCTATTGGCAAGATTTCCGAATTGGGGTGCATCATAATATGTATAGTGTGTGAATCCTGTCGTAGCTACGTTGAGGCAGTCCGTTTATCACTTTTGTGTCCCTGAGCTGAAATATTTTTGTTTCAGTTCTGCAACTGCTACCTTTTATAAATGAAATGATAAGCGAGGTTGTACTAGCAGCCTTGCCAAACCACTTCAGTTTGAAATCAATAGGGCTTTTGCACTGATTCCAGTCGAAAACATTTTATTAAATTGAAAATACGGATCCTAAAAGGCATTTAGTACGCAATTAAGTAATTCGTAAAATGCCTCCACTACCATTGATTCTTCTGCCCTCGCTTCAATTAGAACAGCAATCAGCCGCCAGACGCCTACACGAGGACACTCCGATTCTCATCTATTAGTTACTTTGTAGTAATTTTGCCCAATTTTCCTAATATAAGCGTAGTCGAATTTGACATTCACCGTCCATTTCGGAAACGAAACACTGCACAGTTGCGGGACACGGCTTTCACATCACACCTAGCTCCCTTTTTGATGACTCCTCGAAGCCAACGTCATTCCCATTTTGCAATTTGGTTTCATTCCCCACATACGTGATCGATCATTACCGTTTATACTATGGTAAAAACTGCACTAGATATAGTCATAGAGTACCACTTCCTATTTCTGTCTAAATTCACCTGATGGTAAATCCACGCGATTTGTGTGAAATTAAACCCCTCTCAAGCTTAGTCCCTACAATCGAATATCTCAGAGTGGCTACTTATATGTCGAACATTGGCCGTAGATTTGGTTGAGGGTATGTTCTGTCTCACTGTAGTGAAGATATGAGTTTTCGGTCTAAGGGGTAAGAACACTCAGCGGTAACTCGGGAATGCTGCTGACAATTACAGTAAATTTCTCATTTCATGAAATGTCACCCAAAATTCTGAACAAAGTACTTGATTAGTGTTGGAATACTGATTATCTTGCAAATTGACTTTACATTATTTAAATCAGGTCAGGATGCCTGCCTTTTGAACGATCTTTCTTGTGCCCGCCTGCAGAAAGTATGTGCTGTGCATTGTTTCTATTGATTTTCAAAGCCTTTATAAATTATAATATAAAAAATTCTTTCTTTTACTTATTTCGTAGAAATTTGCGCCTACTTTAAATGGTTTGCCTTAAGATTGGGAATCTTTCCTGCAAACCTTATAGAAATCATTAATCAATAGATGGATATGACACTTATGAATAACTGTTTCACGGTACCTATAGGCTCTCAATTATTTATTTTTAAACCAAAATATGACGCAGGTATAATTCGCTACGAAATTAATACAAAATGAATCTTTTTGTACATGTTTTCTTCAAAATGTGTTTGAATTCAATGGGGCATGTAAAACCGATGAGAGGAATGCTTATTACTTAAGTAGCCATTTTTACAGCGTAGACACAAAGAAGCTTGTTCAAATAGAGGTCTGTAATGTGTTTTCATTTCGAACAAACTATATAATTAGAGTCGTGATACTGATTACCTTGCAACCAAATCCCCACCTGACTACTCCGTGCTGCTGTGAATTTACTATCTTATAAAATGTCAACCAAAATTCTGAAGTACGTTCCCGATTTGAACGAATTTTTTAATTGATTATCGTACAACCTGATGTCAACATATTTAAGTCCCCTCAGGATGTCCGCCTTTGGCCTTACTTTTCTGTGACCGCCTAGAGATAGTCTGCCTTTAAAGGTAAAGTGGCGGGTATATCGTATGTTCGATATGAAAAATTTTATACAAATATAATTCGTCCTACGAATGAGACAGCATTAGAACCAATGAAGGCTTGAATGTATGTGGATCTTTTAATCAACCAAAAATGCAGACACAGCTTATCAACGGGTAAACAAAATATGCATACATTGCCGATAATTTGAAGACTACGTGCACGTCTTAGAACTTGACTATTCTAAGTTGTTCGTGCCTGTATCATTGAAATACTTGTGGTGATCGCCATGGTCAACGTGAAGGACATTCCGATGACAGCCAACAGAGGAGAGTAGATTGAATCTAACTTATCAAAGTAGAATGCGACAGCAACCAAAGCGAGAATGCCCGCGATCCAAGTCAGTCCAAGGGCGGCTGGCGTGCACCAAGGTAGTGGGGTTATGCAGCCGGCAATGACAATTGCGAGGGCGACGAGATTTATCAAGATGGCGCAGACAAGGAGGGCTCCCACCGTCCGGTAGGACTCCTTAAATGGCCCCCTCAGACAGGAGTCCAGCACGGTGCCACAGCGCCAGCTCGATAGCGCCACGGCGAGAATGAGGAAGAGAACGGCGCAGCCGAGACCGACGGCGAAGTGAATATTGTTTTTGTGCATTTTGCGGTGTTTTGTCACAAGCTATTATGAAAGGAGAGAGAGAGAGTAAAAGCTGGAATGGTAAAATTCTTGGTATCTGTAACTATGTTTATGGTCGACAAGGTCGTCTTTTATACTGACAGTAGTCTCGCCTGCTTGGCGCATTCTGATTGGTCGTAAGCGCAGGGCCTTATCAACCGCACTCGACGCTCAGTCTCGCGCGCATGAACTTTTTCCTGTTGCGTTTACTTTTAACACCATTCCGGCCGAATTCGATTGACAGAGGTTAAAAATGTCGCACAGCTTACGTATACTCATTGTTTCCAGGCCGGCTGCATAACTAGGTCGGCTTGTTTTGGTCACTATGACTAGGGCTGGGGGGGGCGGGGGGCGGGGGTGTAGCTGCAAGGTGTGAACGATGCTCGTAGGCCGAGTACACGGAGTGTGTATGGCTGTCATTTGGGGTTGTGACGACGTACGATCACCACCTGTAATTGTCCACAGGAGACGCCCTTTAACGGCAAAGCGTTAGATTGGTTATTCACTCCCGGGGCTGGGGCTGGCGCTGGCGCTCGTTGGCGTAGACCTTTGGAGATATTTGCTGGTTTCCCGTTGACGATCCCGTAGACGATCTCAAGTTATGTAAACACACAACGAGTTACAAATCTTATTAAATTAACACCTAACGAGGTTCTCATGTGTTCGCGTAAAGTCTTTTTGCGAATATGAGTGAATAAACGAGTCTCGGGAGAAGGGCGAGAGAGAGAGAGAGAGAGAGAGCGCGAGAGAAATATCCTTTAGCAAATACGCCATAGTAATCTGGAATAAGCTACTCAGGAAAGCTATCCCTTGTTTAAGCGAACTATCATTAGTTTTACTCATTTAGGACAACTTTCACGAATTTTGGGTGCTGACACGGCGAGATCTCGTGGACCTTGAACCCTGCCAGGCTTCATGCTGAAGTAAATGGTGCTTAATCTGCAGCCAGCAATAGACTCATTCTTTAGCCGACAGAGAATAAACTGTTAGCCGAAACACATTCCTCGAGTAAAAAAGATTGAAACCACAACACTCAGGGGAGGCTGAGAATACTGTGTTCCTGAGTCGACCGTTCCCCATCCAAAACTTCAGTCAGTCAACGAGCTTCATTTTTTTTTCTCCAAAGCCGTATGCTCAATCAATTACTGGATATATCGCTTGCTAGTATTGCGCCTTTTAAGTCAGGTGTCTTCTTTTAAAACAAACTCTCCATTTCGCCCATTATCGACCACGCTCAAATCTAAACCAAGGTCAATATTGGCTGCAAAGGAGGCAGTTTCTTTTACTTTTTTACCTGTTATCCAGGGCTTAGAAAGGGCCCAAGATGTGTTTTAACAATTATCCTTCTTTTAATCTTGTCTGAAAACTGGCAATAACAAA